GTTCAATGTAACCTTTGTATGTATTTATGGGATTTTGTCTTACCACATCAACAAATACATTTTAAACTATAGGAAAGCTCGTTCTAATAATGTATTGAAAAAAGTGGAAAATGAGGGGAATATTTTTAATAAATTTCAGCACTGTAAAGGGGGGGATATAGTAATCCATCATTGGCAGGTCTTGGATAAAGCAACATGCATCGTAATAAGAGATCACATCATCTTTATGACTAAAGGTAAGAATCAGCCGCAGTGTAAAAAAAAAAAAAAACCGTGCTCATTCTGTTTTGACATTCAAAGTTAAAATATGCATCAGATGATTGTATAGTTCATTAATGCCATATATTTTGTTAATTTCACAAGACTGGATCAAATTATTTCGTAAAGTTGCCAGCTGGAATGTCCTCTGGAGCAGGATTTTAAATTTTCTTTTCTGTTTCAAGGGCAAACTTGCTAGCAAATTCCAATCTGTGTAATTATGTCATATATTAACCCATTAAATGTTGTGGTGCTCATTTGGTTATCATAAACAGTCAAAAGTCTTTAATTTGGACTCTTCGGCGATTTCGGCGATTTCCGTTTTTTGTATTATAGCTCATCAGTTTAAATCTTTAAGATGGCATGCAGAAATTAAAATTAAAAATATAAAAATAATTTATGAAATAAAAGAGCAATTATGATCTAAAGGGTATCAAAATTTTCAAAAAAAAAGCGTAATATTTATTTGTTTACTTTATTAAACATTTCTTTCAACGTGAGCATGCGTAAAGCATACATTACGCATAGTCGAAATTAGAAAATTGCAACCAGAAAACTATTTGACGTGTATTCGTGATATTTATAATGACAAATTTGATTTAAATCATATCAAAGACGGAGTACATCGAGATGAAACACTGCATTTAGTGAGGAATTATAAGCCGAATAAAATTAAAACATCTGCCCTGAAGATGAGGATAGTGCTGACAGATCAACTTCCAGTTCATTGCGTGCCACGACGTACCCCCCCCCTTCCCGCAGAGCAGCGCGAAATTGATAAACAGATCTCGGAATGGTTAGAGAAACAAATCACCTCTCTGTCACTTTCTTCATGCCTTTAACCATTTTTTGCAGCAATTCCACTTTTTGTTTGATGGACATCAAAACATGCTTTCGCTTTGTAAATCCTTTGATATCTCCAGAATCGGAAACTCTTTTGACATAATCGAAAGTTCAAGCTTACTTTTTATAAAATTGCTCTAACAGTCTGCAAAAAATAATAAGCCGGATCCAATTAGAAGATTAAGGAACAACGCAATCTGCAACATTAACTGAAATAGATAATTTTAGCTTAGCTTATACCGTCCATTATACATTAAACATGTGTTATACATTATACATGCGTAAACGCATGATGCGTTTAAGCATGCGCAGAAAGTTTGTAGCTTTGAGGTCCGGATAAAGAATTTTGACTGTACTTTAAGCCACCTAGTAACACCATCTAGCTATCTCGGAGGGAAAAAAAAAGAACATTCAACTCAGCCACTGAATGTGGTTTGTAGAAAACCTAAAGTGATCACTACCTATACGCTCTTATGCTGAGCTCATGTTAATTTTCACATTCCACTCTCCTCTTATCATAAAAGCGAAACATGTGTTTTGAAAACGGATTAGACGTAGTGGATCGAGGCTAATTTTGGTCATTGTGATTTTACTATATTATTGGTGAGTGTTGATTAAAGCGGTTATTACTTCTAGCAACAGTCCCCGCTAGACGGGACTTTCCTGAGAAACAAGTTTTTTTTTGGTAGCACTGGTTTAAATGGGAGGATTCTTAGAAAAAAAAAAAAAAAAAAAAAGAATCCCAGCCTAGCTACGGAAACAATGTAGCGGCTATGTGATATTTTTTCAAACCTCGCCAAAAATTTCTCATCTGAAACTTTGTCTTGGGTAGAAATCAACCAATCAGATGAAAGTTCTGCTTCTGAAGGATCACGTGATCCATCTGAAGGATCGTGATCCCATCTGTCATCATTCTCCAGATTGTAGCAAGATTTGTCGGAGAAAACAACTTGTTGCCATAGAGCATGCCACGCACTGCGTTGCAGTGCTCACTGAAGTCGGAGGCATATGTTACTCAGCGACAGGGCAATCCTCTGTAGAGGAACCCTTGCATGCAGTTCATGTTGCAGCAAATAGGTAGTATGGGCACAAAAATGGACAGCATGTAATTTTCAAAATGATTTTACAAGAAAATTTTCACAAGTTCTACTATAACAGTAAATGTAATAGAAATAATGATAATGTGAAATTAAAAGAAACAGCAATAATCATTCGTTATATTACTAGTGATTAGAATTCATGTCTTAACAAATACATTCTAAATTAGAATTTTAAGTAAGTCATGAAACTACTGTATGAAGGAAAATGCATTTTAGGATAAAATATCAGTTTAATTTTCATTTTTAAAAAGCTGCCTTCGTATATTATTTAATAAAGATCGTGTCCTTGTTGGTTATAGCTGTGGAGGTTTTCTATATAACTCTGAACTTTTGCAGTTTTACTCATTTATAAGATTGCTATAGGATTGAATGTTTGTATAATATTTGCCTTTTAAAAAAATGATTATCCTAAATCTTGTGTTTACATCAAAATATATTATGCTTCAAAAAAAGGGTTTTTGATGTAGTATTTTTTGGCCTTTCAAATATAAAGCACAATTTGTTTAAAAATGTACTATGCAGTTAACGTCACAGAAAATCTTTGGATATCTCCAGAATTATTTATATTGGTTGTGTTTGCGACACACAGAAAAGAAGGGGAAAAAATCTGACAGTCTAGTAAATTTTGTCGCTTTTTAACATTCTGTGGTAGCCAGGCAGCATACTTTTTTTTACAATGTATATGGTGAATTGTTTGGAGTATGATACTGATACTGATTATGAAGTTGCTTATGTGGCCCCAGAATGGGCCTTAATAAGCTAGATAAGAAAATTAAGCCACTAAGAGCACATGATTTTGACGAGCAGGTGAACATCCCGGAACTGTCTTTTTACTAATTAATTGTAAAGCACATCATAGAACAAGTTCAGGACTTAATTAGACAAGTTCATGTGAGTGTTTAGTTAATGATAACCCTTAGATAACTTATATTATTTACATGTTTCACAATTTCCCCGAATATGTTTGAAGTATTTAGAAGTATTAAATATAGATATGTAATACACTATTTTCAAATATGCAAATAAGTTTCTTTGCACATGAAATAAAGTGAAATAAATAAAAGTTAAGTAAAATAGTAGACAATTAAATGGCGAAGAAAATAATTTACTTTTACAAAGGTATCTTTAGACTTTTCATTAATATTCTTAATAAATTTTAAAAAAATTCATATATTGTTAATAAATTTTTGTTACTCATTATTAATAAGAATGAGAATAAAGAAATGAATTATATGAATAATCCTGAGTAAAAGTTTATTTGGAAAAATTGTTGGAATTCATTGAAGGTTGTAATGATGTGTGTGCTTAAGCCATATTTGGCGTTACTATTGCTTCTAGCAAATATGCCAAATTTCAAAACGCAATAATATATAAACTTCACATATTTCTCCAGAAATGTTTAATAACGAATTGTAATTTTTGCAGGTGTGCATAGAAATATATCTACTTTAAGATGATTGTAAAATTTTATAGTTATTATTCAAAGTTTTTTCGAAAAATTTATAAAAATTATTAAAAAATACGCATTTAAAAATAAACAGAAACGATGTATGAGTTTTAATTGGGTTAAACTTGTTCGAATTATGAGAGAAGAAATCAAGTAGTTTTAATTACAGAAGTGATATTATTAGATATATGCCAAATTCACTTAACATTGTAAGGTTAAAATTTTGGGTGCGGATTAAAACAAAAAAAATTTGCTGCTGAGATTTTTACAAAATTTATAAGGTATTTCTCCCGCCTATTAGCGAGCCTTCGTGGTTTCTTCTGCACCCTTAGCGCGTAATTGAGAGGTCCGCGGTTCGATTCCCGACGAAGGCGTTGCTAATTTTCATGACTCTTGCTTCCAAAAAGAAAAAAGAAATTCTAATGTCTCTACAGTGGCCCGGTGTTGGATGATGATTCTCCTCACGAGGATTTGGCGATTAGGTTCCCTTAAAAACTCCAGTCGCTCTTTGAAAGGGGAGTATATAAGGTATTTCTCCCGCATTCTTAGCGAGCCTTCGTGGTGTAGTGGTCTGCACGCTCAGCGCGTAATTGAGAGGTCCGCGGTTCGATTCCCGTCGAAGGCATTGCTAATTTTACACGACTCCTGCTTCCCCCCCTCCCGAAAAATCCTAATGTCTCTACAAACTTGAGGCGTAGTATCAAAATATGGGAAAATCGGAAAATCATTTCAGAAAAAGTCCGATTTTGTGCCAAAACGTGTATTTTAAAATAAAGCTGTGTATAAGTTTAATGCATAACCTAAGTCCCGAAAAAAAAATTAAAAACGCAAGTAGAATTTCGTCGATCGGCGGATTGGAACGGTAGCTATAGAACTGTCTTTGTGTGTGTGATTCGGTGCACGTCTTTCAGGTGTACCGACAGAAAGATATTATTGCGTAGGAAACCAGATCAGTTATTGACCTGTACATGCGTCACATCATTATTTGCATTCATAAAGAGATAGCTTTTTGTGAAAATTTGCCAGCAATCAGCATATTATAATTTGATACTAGTTCATTTATTCAAATTCGGTGGGTGTTTACATAGTTCTGTCAGTGGGTGCGTGCTAAGTTTTCCTAAAAAGTCATTCATGAAGCCCGTGTTTTAACGTCATCGATTAAATGAAAAACACCTCCATTTTGATTTCAGCACATTATTATTGTGATGACATTATTATGACCACATTTGCAAATTGTACAATTTATAATGCGTTTAAATATTGCTATATTATTCATTTGACTTCTATGAAAATACGTCATTTTGTAGTATAAAAGCATTTAATGGAATTTACTTCAACATTTAGAAACACAATTTATTATCAAATAATTTATTCAAAATTCTGAAATCATACAGGTAAGAATTTTCTTCAACATTTAGAGACACGATTTATTATCAAATAATTTATTGAAAATTCTGAAGTCATACAAGTAAGAATAACCAATCAGTTAGTAAAATTTAACTGAAGAAATGAATAAGATTTATTCAGAATAAAGAATTTTTAGACAAAGTTTAAATAATTGACATGCTAAATTAAGTAAATTCCTTTCATGTTCTTCGTTTTATTTTTCCTTTTGCATAGAAAATGAGAAATTTTATGCATAAGTAGGAAACCCAAAGTGGAATTAGGATTGGAGAAGAATATTTAAAGTAAGTATATCTGTAATAATATATAAAGCTGAACTTTTTGATGAACGAGAATCTTAAGGTTATGGATAATTTCAAAAGTTTTCTTTTCATAACTATCAACATATCACTATTATACTAATAAATGCACCGAATGTCTCAAAAATCATAGCGGTGCGGGATGGTGGTGTGGCCCGCAATCGGGATGTCGAAGAGGAAAGTTCGGCAAGGAATAATGCAAAGGTCCCGCTGAGGACGGACCGCTGCAGTAGGTCTGTGGAGGCTTCCAAGGCAGGACTGGAGTCGGGCGGGGAACGATCGGCTGCTCGACATTCGGCAGGGCTGTACGGAGCTGATTTCTCTGAGCTAGTATTGTTCTTTCATTGCGGCGAAACTTTGCACGTCGATTTTGGAACCACACCTGGAAAAAAGGAAATAAATAAAAAAAATTTCTATTAACTCTGCCTCATTTTCAGATCTGTTGCATTTTTTTATTTATTTATTTATTTATTTATTTATTTTAGAGACAAAACTAGGTTAAGCATTCGATATAGCAATCAACGAAGCTCCTAGATTAAACATTGGACACAGAAATAAAATTTTATGAATCAGCAATATTCATAAAGCCATTTAGATTCATAAAAATCTAAGTGGCACAAGATGATTTAATGGTATCAAGAACTTAAAACTTGCGTTAAAGGAAATAATCACTATGCCTTCAATTAAATAAAAATTTTAAACTGTAAGAGACGATTTAAGTAATCACAGTGACATGGGGTGTTGTCCTGTTGGAAGATTTCATTTTCATTTGGAAAGATAGAAGCCATGTAATGGGGCAACTGATCTGCAGTTATGTTCAGATAGGCCCTAGCTTTCATGGTCAGTTCTACTACAACTAAGGGTTCCAGAGCTGCCCATGAGAACGTCCTCCAAAGCATAATAACACCACTATCAGCCTATGTATGACTTGTGGGGGGGCAACCGCTCGCCTAGAAGACTGCGTACCCTGACACGACCATCGACGGAATGAATGAGAAATTGTGATTCATCTGACCAAGCAACTGTCTTCCACTTATCCATGGTCCAGTCTCGATGTTCCCGGGCCGTAATTGACAGTGACGCTTGATCAACTGAGGCAGACAAATGGGACGTCTGCTGCACAGTCCCCCATATTCAACAGTTTCCGCTCAACTGCATTTTCCGAAACACTAGCACTTGGACGTGCAGTGTATTGGGCTGTCACCTGAGCCACTATCTGGCGCCAGTTTTGCTGTACCAATTGGGGCAGTCTCCAACCTCCTTTTTCTTTGATGACGCGTGACCGTCCTTGGCGACTACTGCTCATTTCACCGTCATTTATCTACTTTTTGTAAATATTAACAATGGCAGATCATGAACAACCTACCAGTCATACAGTTTCGGAGATACTGCTTCCGAGTCTTCGGCCCATTACAATCTGCCCTCTATCAAATTCGCTTAGATCAACAGTCTTTCCCATCATTCCCCAAAACAAGTGTAAGAATGATTCCTTACCTTCTTCAGCAGCAGTTAAATACCATTCCCACTTAATTAAGTGTTCTCCACGTCATTCAGACGAGTTCATTGAAAAATGTGGGGGATGGTCATAATGTTTTGATTTGTCAGTGTATATTCCGAAATTCAACGACTGACCTGCAAGTGAATTTCATGATAGGTGTTGCAATCAGTTCTGAATAAAAATAACTGGCCTGCGAAATATTTTTCTGTCATAAATTAGGAGCATTCATAAAGTGAGTTGAATGCAATGTTCAGATATTTTAGACACATCGTAATTAAAATCTCATGCGTCTGATTTACTCTCTTTATGCAGTGAAACCATCTCACTTTAAGATTCTTAAGTACCTTAGGATAATATTTTGTGGCTTTCAATCTAAAAACTTCTTTCATTCTATATTAGTTGTATCAGTAATCTATTTATAACATGAGGGAGGGGAGTTAAATGCTGTTTATTTAATGAACGCCTTTTGTTGTAATTTTCGATTTTTGTAGCTTGTTTTTTTCTTTATGTATGTCTACGGGAGCTTCTAGAATAAGCTGGATTGCCATAAAATAGTGCACAAGTTAATTTGCCTTAATCTAAAAGACATTATCCATTTTCGATGTATTATCAAATTTCGCACCCTAATCCTTTGTAGGGGGAAAAGAATGAACAATGGAATTTTTTTTTTTTTTTTCTTGAAAATTTCGTTCACACTTTTTGTGAAATATGATCTTCATTATCAGCTTAAGAGTCAATCTTAACATTCCAGTATTTGTTTCTTTCTCAGACTGTTCTATCGCTGTATGAAAAACTTTTGGCCTGCTCGATAAACATCTTCAAAAAATGTTTACGCCTTCATTAAATCAGAATTTAAATTGCATTGGAATTGCACTGTCTAATTCTAAATTTTTGTTGGCACCTTTGAAAGTTTTTCACAATTTGGAACTTTTCTAGTTTTCATTCTCAGTTAAAAAAAAAACTTGAACTTCTTCTCGTTTATCCTTTAAACCATACATAGGTGATGATTTGTTTAGATTTACACACAGTGTTTTTGCACACATTCCTTTATCTTCGAACTTTTCAAGCATACATAATGATTTTTGCTCAATTTGTTAATATTTACCTCTTGTCCTTTTAATTTACATTACGGAAGGAGATTCTGGATATGAGAAAGTTCATGTTCTATAGGGCTGAATATGAGAAATTTATAGAACAAGAAACACAACATTATGCTGCAATGTTAAGAGATATTAAATCCCGAATGCTATTGACATACACTATTACCAAATCGACAGACTAAGGCGAAGATTTGAAATGTGCTAAACCGTAATTGAAAGAATTAGTTGAATACATGTAATTTTAAAAAAGTTTATAATAAAAGAAAACGAACTGGTATCTGCTTCAGATGGTAAAATTTAAGTTTCATATATCTATTCTTCCTGCTCCGCCCCCAAAACATAAGAGAGATCAGATAATTTATAAGTAATTAAATTACATATATATAGTTTAAGTTACATAGTGTGTATAGTTAAATCGAAGACAGTATCAACTTCAGAGTTCAACGGTTATATCCAAATTCCATATTCTTTTCTCTTTAAACAGTAAATGAAAATGAAAAGTTTAGCGTTTTTAGCGTAAATCATATGCTGAGAAAGCTAGGAGATAAAAAATTAGTAATACAACAACCTTGAGTTTGGCGTAGATTTAAGTCAAGATCTCAATCGATTTCGAGAGCAAACAGGTACAGGTCTCAGTTCACCAGGAGCATAGAAATCTGCAAGGGCGTAACGGTCGTATTTATACTCCACAGTAAAGGGATAAGAAGCTCAACTTAATTTTTACAACTAGTTCCTGCATAATCATAAACAGTTTAGATAATTTATGAAAAGCTGAAATATTATCCCCCAAAACTCTATCATTATATTCGCTGCTGAAAAGTTCAGATAATTTTTTATATCTAGAAGTCCAGTCCCATTCAGTAGCATTATTGTCAGTTAAAACAACTGTTTCTAGAAACATCCCCAGTTAACAACAGTTTATTTAGGACTATAATTCAAGCTTCCAGTCTAATGCTTTAATTTTCAAATAAGCGTAAATAGCAATATCTTTCTTTGCTGGACTTTTCATTTTAACACATAACTTTGCTTAACATGTGAAAACAATGATTTGTCTTTGGGAATAATTGAACTCAAAATAAAATTAGTTTCATCAATTTCAATACGAGCAACCAGCTTTCACAAATTCAGCTTCTTTTTCAATTATTTTACCTATTAAAAATAATATAATTCTAATATCCCCTTCTATTAACTTTTTTCGATTTGGATGTAACTATTTCTGACTTTTAGACTTTACTAAGAGAGAATGACGCAAGCGGATGAAAACTGACTTTCGATAAAGCAAGGTAACTAAATGAAAACGATTTGGAATGTTTCCGTTCTCATTCTGCCTCACAGATGGCAGCACTAATGAAATGCAAAATACTCGTTTAATTCAGAGGTTCTCAACCAGTGGTACGCAAATAAACAAAGTATTTTTAACTATTAAATTCAAAAATTAAAACCCCAACATCCGATGAATTTTTCTCTAACATCGTAAATTATGCAATGAGTTTTCAGAGTTGGTGGAGTAGTACTATGGTGTGTATAAGGTTCGTTTTTGTTATGTATCATCCGTGAACCTTAGGTTCCTTTCGAAGGGCGCCTGGACTGCAGAGTCCTATCCCTGTCGAGGCTGAGTCTCTTTTCGATCGTTGGGATCATAAGTGCGTTCCGGCAGAGTGATGATGCAGAGACATGTCCATAAGCAAAGTATAGCATAAAGTCCAATTGAAAGTGAGTTGATGACACATGCACTTGGGGAGAAGTATTCGGAGGCTAACTCGTAGGACGAAAGTCGAAGCACTGAGATAGAAGGCGGCGTCGATGGGCGGAGAGGCTTGAAAATCTTCAGGTCATGTGGTTGTTATTGGCCAATGGTAGAAAAAGTTGGAATTTTTTGGTAATAGAGCTGAGGGGTCTCATGCAAGCAGTGTATTATGTTCCCGAAATCTAAGATATAATTTAAAAGTTTTTTTTTTCTATTATTTAGTTAAAGATATTAGATTCCTCACATATGTTAAATAGAATTAAGAGTTTCTCCATGGGTGTATCTACTGATTTTAACTGGTCTAAGTTATTTTTGAGAATAGAAAAGAATTTAAAGATGTTATTGTGGCCGAAAATATTATTAAGTTCTTTTAAGTGGAAAATATGTCGATGAAAATGTTCGCGTTAGATGTAGTGTTGGTATTCTGATTTCTAGTGTCTTGTGTGTTGTTGGATGTAACCTGTGCGTATGTTCTGCCTTGTGTGGATGTATGTATATTTGGGGTGCTGTTGTTTTGAGTAAAAGTGTGATTTGGTGAATTATTTAGTTTCTGTTTTTGGGGAATTTCTCGCAACCGCGGTAGGAAGCTGGATGGTTTTTGTGGCAATTTGCGCATGTAGGGTTATCTATTTTGCTTGTGTAGGGCAGTCTGTGGTTTTATGTTGTTGTGCGCATTTAACACACCTAGGTAGGAAGAAACAATTGTCTGATGAGTGATTAAAACGTTGGCAATTGTGGCATTGTGGTGTAATGTTTTTGTTGATGTATTTTTCGATTGTAATGATGAACATACCTAGGTGTGTTTCACTGTAGATTTTGTCAATGTTGGGTGTTTGCATGAGTTGGATCTGAAATAGTGGCATGGGTTGTTTGGTCTTGAATCTGGTGAGTTGAACTACTTTGTGTACTGTGTATCCGAGGTTTGTGAGTTCAGTGGAAATTTCATGTGTGTCAGTGGTAATGGGTAGGCCTCGGATAACTACTTTGACTGGGCGTTTGTGCTTAGGTGTAATGACATAGTGTTCGATGTTATGTTT